CCCCCCCCCCCTCCCTGTGGTTGGGGAGGGCTCTCTATCTCTCTCTACTTCCCTACATCTAGATTCTATATTGTTTGTTCCATCCTTGGACCATAACATGTTGTCTGTTGCACAACTTACTACTACTTTGGGGTGTACTGTAACATTTTGGCCAAATCGTTATGTTTTTCAGAACATCCTTATGGAAAAGACAATTGGTTGTGGTACTCGGCGGGGCAAACTCTACCACTTGGACTGGGCACTAGATACTGAGACCAGGGTTGGTCAAGCTTTCACAACCAGTGGAACCCGTTTTGAGGGGGAGAGAGACAAAGTTTGGTTATGGCATAAACGTCTTGGGCATGCCTCGTTCAGTTATCTTAAGAGGTTGTTTCCATCATTACTTTCCAGTTTTGATGTTTCCAGCTTCCAGTGTGATACGTGTGAATTGGCTAAGAGCCATCATGTCTCATTCCCATTAAGTTCAAATAAGAGTTTGGTTCTGTTTTCTCTTGTTCATTCTGATGTTTGGGGACTTGCTAAAATTGCCACTCCAGCAGGAGCTTGATGATTTGTCACGTTTATAGATGATTGCACATGCATGACTTGGGTTTCCCTTCTCAAAACTAAAGGGGAAGTCAGTTCCAAGTTTCAATAGTTCCATCAAATGGTGGAGACTCAGTTTCATGCTGGAATTCAGGTTCTTCGTTATGACAATGGCGGAGAATTTCTCAATCATGATCTTAACCAATTCTTATAAGATCATGGCATCATACATCAATGCTCATGCCCCTACACTCCCCAATAGAATGGAATGGCTGAAATGAAGAATAGACATTTATTGGAAGTAGTTCGTGCCTCTCTCTTTGGTGCCAATATGCCTCGATCTTTTTGGGGAGAAACCGTCGTCTCTGCAGCATACCTCATCAATCGGATTATCTCTAGTATCCTAAATTTCCGAACACCACTTCAAACACTTTGCCACCATATCCAAATACCTCTCACTCCAAACCTGGAATCCCGGATTTTGGGCTGTGTTGTATTTGTCCACTTACATGATTACTAACGAAGCAAATTGGATTCCCGAGCCGAAAAGTGTGTTTTTATTGGCTATGCACCTCATCAGAAAGGATACCAGTGTTCTCATCCTCATAGTCAGAATGTCTATACCTCCATGGATGTTGTGTTTCGGGAACATAACTTATATTTTTCAACAGCACAGAAGGAGAATCGAGAATCCAACACTCCTCAAATTCTCAATTTTTTTCCCAGGACGTCACTCTGCTTCAAAACGATAGGTGGCAAGAGGAAAGTGACTGGTCGCCCCCCCTTAGTTCTTCGAACATGGAGAACCTGCTTCAAAACGACCGGTCGCTAGAAGACAACGACTGGTCGCCAGAGGAAAATGATCAGTTGTCTCCACGTTGTCAAACTCAGTAGGAGGAAATTAAACCGTTTTATGAGATTTTGCCAGCTCCAATACCACACCAATCACCTACTGTGGAAGTCATTTAGGTATCATCTTTCCCTGAAACTGATAACACTAATGAAATATCCCATGATGATTTGATTTCAAAAGGCACAGAGCCTACATATCAGCTTTCATAAATGAAGAACTGTGGCAAACCTCAAGTACAATATGAAGCAGATCTTAAAGCCAAAGGGAAATTCCCCATCAATAATTATATATCTCTCAGCATATTATCAGAGGCACGTGTGCACCATGAATGAAGAAATGCGATCCTCCAATAGAATGTCACATGGGAACTCGTGCCCTTACCTCATGGAAAAAAGACAGTAGGATGCAGGTGGATTTATACTGTGAAACTCAAAGCAGATGGATCCATTGAAAGATATAAAGCTAGCTTAGTGGCGAAGGGGTACACACAGAGATATGGGATAGACTACCAGGAGACCTTTGCCCCAGTAGCCATGATTAACATTATTAGAGTTCTATTGTCTCTAGCAGCAAATCTCGATTGGCCATTACATCAGTTTGATGTCAAAAATGCATTCTTACATGGTGACTTGGAAGAAGAAGAATATATGGACCTACCACCAGGATGTAATTTAGCTCATGACAAGAAGAATCACGTTTGCAAGCTCAGAAAGTTATTATATGGATTAAAGCAATCTCCTAGAGCATGGTTTGGCAGATTTACTAAATCTATGAAGAATTTTGGATATACACAGAGTAATTCAGATCACACCCTATTCGTGAAGCGTGATGGAAGAAGACTTTCTGCATTGATTGTTTATGTAGATGATATAGTCATAACTGGAAACGACACCGGAGAACAATTGAAGCTGCAAAAGTATTTGTCTCAGGAATTTGAGATGAAGGATTTAGGTGATCTGAAGTACTTTCTCGAAATTGAGGTAGCTATGTCAAAAACTGGTATATTTCTATCTCAAAGGAAGTATATAATGGATCTACTCATTGAAACAGGAATGATTGGGTGTAAGCTGGCTGACACACCCATTGAGATGAATCACAAGTTGTGTGAAGACATGGACCAAGAACCAACTAATAATGAACAGTACCAACGCCTTGTTGGAAGGTTGATATACTTGGCACACACAAGACCATATATTGCATATGCTGTGAGTGTGGTTAGTCAGTTTATGCATTCACATAGTGTTTTTCATAGGAATGCAGTTGATCGGATCTTAAGATACTTAAAGTCAACCCCTGAAAAATGATTAATGTTCTCAAAAAATGGAGATCTTGAAGTTGTTGGATATACAGATGCTGATTAGGCTGGTTCCATTACAGATAGACGTTCTACTTCTGGTTACTTTGCATTCGTGGGAGGTAACCTAGTCACTTGGCGGAGTAAAAAACAATATGTGGTTTCTCGGTCTAGTGCAGAAGTAGAGTATCGAGGAATGGCTCACGGAGTTTGTGAATTATTGTGGATCAGAAGACTCTTGACAGAATTGGGCTTCAAGTCAGAAAAGCCAATGGAGTTACATTATGACAATAACTCAGCTATCGATATTGCCCATAATCCAGTTCAACATGATCGAACCAAACATGTTAAGGTGGATAGACATTTCATCAAAGAAAAAATTGAGAATAAGATCATCTGCCTACCATTCGTAAAATCAGAAGATCAACTAGTAGATGTCTTAACAAAAGCTGTTTGTGGAAGAGTATTTCATGACTCACTTACCAAGTTGGGCATTAGTGACATATATGCACCAACTTGAGGATGAGTGTTGACGTGAGTCTCCTAATTAATCAAGGAGATTTATTTCCTTGATTAATTAAGGGATTTACTTCCTTATTTTATATAATTGACAAATAATTGTATAATTAGGACATACTATCCTAGTTGATTATTGTATCTGTTTCCTTGTAAAGCACTCATGTAAACTCCTATATATACCTCCTTATGGAGAAGAATAAAACTTAACCTAAAGTATTCAAACCATATTCATATTTTAGCATAAATGGTTTAAAATGAGGCTGAGCATCTACGAATTGGACGAACGAGAACCAAATTCTTATTGTCGGTGTAGAACAAGTTTTCTACCACTAAAACTGTGAGCACACTTTGGTCACTCAATTCAAATATTACTACTAAAACAAGTTTTCTTACTTGTTGAATGTCTTTGGAAACCTCATAAAAACAATGCAGAAAATCCTCTAAAGAACTCTAAAACCAAAAACAAAAAAATTCTTTAAACTCAGGGTTATTCGAAGCAATGGTCCCTCAACTATACCCGAAGTTACATTTTGGTCACTCAATTCAAATATTAGTTGCAGAGGTCACTCAAGTAGGTGTTTTGTTGCAACATTAGTCCCTCTGTCAAACTTTGTTAAATTTTCTATAAAAAATGAGGGTAAATTCGGAAATTCATCCACAACCCTCCCCTTCCTCCACAATCCTCCATTGCCGCAACAGTCGCGACGAAGCTCGCTACCACAACACAACCCACACCCACCATTTCTCTGCCCACTACGTCCCCTTCAACGCCAACCCTTCCTCTGCTGCTGCCGTCGACTCCGAGTCCTACTCCCTCGATGAGATCGTCTACCGATCCAACTCCGGCGGCCTCCTCGACGTCTAGCACGACATGGCCGCCCTCAAGAACTACGACGACAAGTACTGGCGCGACCTCTTCGACTCCCGCGTCGGCAAGACCACCTAGCCCTAAGGCTCCGGCGTCTGGAGCAAGAAGGAGGGGGTCTTACCCGAGATCGACAGCGACGATATTGTCTCCTCCTTCAAAGGTAACTCCAATCTCTTTTGGGCCGAGTGTTATGGCAAATAGTTTCTGGGCATGAATGATTTGTGGGTCAAGCACTGTGGGATTAGCCACATCGATTTATTTGGCCAACTCTTTAACAGTTTGAGATTAGAGGGTCATAAAACCACCGCTATAGAGATTTTGCGGCAATTTGATTGGGAAGTGCCTGACTGGGTTATAGTTCCTCCATTCATCAAATACCATGGGACTTGTTTGCTGGTAGAATGCAAGACTTCATAATCCTTCCTCCATTTATTGGGTTGCGGCAATGGAGGAATGTGGAGGAAAGCGAGGGTTGTGGATGAATTTCCGAATTTACCCTAATTTTTAACAAAAAATTTAACAGTTTGACAAAGGGACTAATGGTGCAACAGAACACCTACTTGAGTGACCTCTGCAACTAATATTTGAATTGAGTGACCAAAATGTAACTTCCGGTATAGTTGAGGGACCATTGCTACGAATAACCCTTAAACTCATTAATTCCCTGGTAACTAGTAAAATTCAGAAACATACAATGATTTAGACATTAATGAAAATAGTGTCGTGAATCTTCATATTGTGGATATATGCTACGTTGTCCGCAGTCGCTATGCCCAACAACTAGCTAGCTAATTATGTTTATCAATTCTCACTAGCAACTTGCTAGGCATTTGCAACGACAAATAGCGTAGCAAGAAGCAGGCTGAGTGCCATTCCAAACAATGGAAAATTGGAAATGGCTGGGTTTTTTTTATTTTAAAAAAAAGACCATTTTTATTGAGAGGGGCGATAGCATACTAAACTCACACACACTATATGGATGCTAGGACTCAAACCCAGGACCTTACCTAGGGGAGCAATTGCTCCAACTAGGTCCTTTGCAGAGATGGCTAGCTTTAGTTGATACTTGATAACTCAATTACATAAACCTATCATAAAATATCTTCCACGTCTCTACACTACCTTCCGCATTTCATCTTAAGAATCCTTAGGTTTTGAGGATTTGGGCCACTTCTGGTATCAGAGCCAAACTTCCGGGAAAGAGATAGGATTAAGGTTTTGGTTAAGTTTTGCCACCACAGTTTTTGACATTTTTGGTCAAGTCTCCTTTACTGACTAGTCATCGTGTCAAGCTAGTAGCCGCGTACAGTCCGTTGTAGCCGTAGGCATTTGTAGGACTCAGGCAGGGAGCTAGTAGACCTTAAATGGAGAATCAGAAACCGGAAAACCAAATGGCAAGCCTTAAGCAGATCTTGTCCAATCGCCCTTCTAGCAGTGCAAGCTCTAGTAGCAGTTCTACCTCTAGAACCTTGAGAGTAAATAATTCTCAAGAAATCACCATGAGAGACGTAGAAAAAGAACTCTCAAACTGGAATATACCCAGGGTCCCGAGTTTAGGTCTGATTATTCTATAAAGACCGTAGGAAAGACCATGTCAGTCATTGATAGTAATGACAGCTTCCAATTGTTTACACAACGACAAATAGATCAACATATTGGAAGAAATTATAACTACCTACACATATGATTAGTCCAGGTGACTGTAAAGCCTCTCACCAGAACCGGGTTGAATAACTCAGTTCTCTTATGTGTACGAGACGGAAGACATAAAAAGTTCTACAGCATTCATTCTCATTGATTTTTAAAAGCAATCTTACTTGATTAATTTGATCTCCCGGTGTATGAATTCTCAAATGGCATACAAGAAAAACAGAGTATATTTGAATCAAAATAGGGCATGCTTGCTTTGGTAACTCATTTGGGTAATAAAGTTAGAGAAAAAACTTGCAAATACTATAAGAATATATGATGATATTCCTTTTATTTATTAGAGAATGAAAAAAAATACAACAGTCACACTTTGATATAACAGAGGCCTCCAAGTGCAAGCCCTTGGCCACACACAACAAGGAAAGAAAAGAAAAAGGAAAACAAACATCACTGAATGATGACTCTGGAAGCAAAGACTCTCTTCAACATGCTACATTTAGTTGTAGGCATCTGGGTTGGCCACAAGGTAGTTCTCAATAAGCTTGAACAGACCAGTCGCCTTCTCTTTGCCAGCCTTAACATCCTCTTCCTTGATCTCAACATCACCTGTGGTGTGGTAGTTGCTGGTGCTCTTTATGATGGAACCTCCATCAGCAGATGCCACCAACTTAATCTCATAACTGATTTTCTCAACCTTGTCTGAAAGAGCATCTCCTTCAATCAAACTGTAGCTGTACACAAAGTTATCTTTGTCAAGCCCGTCGATCCGGTGCTTCACATAGCTGTAATGACTTCCTGTAAAAGGAGGGTTATAATTAGAAATTAAGAGATTACAGCTTTCAAGATTTATGTTATTAATCAAGTAAACAAGTTAGACTTAGAAGAGGCAATGGAAGAAACAAACCTTCACCAAAGCTAATCTTCTTGATGGTTCCAACACCTCCATCTCCTTCAACAATTTCAGCACTTTTCACTGATTGGGGAGCAATCTTGGGGATGAGGGTGTCAGCTTCAAGAACAAGGGCTTTGAACAATCTCGGTGGGGTGATGACTGAGGTGGACTCGTCTGTGTATGTGAAGACACCCATGATGATGATTTTAGAGCTTAGAAAATGATCAAAGAAAGAATGAAAGTGTGAAAGGATTAGATGATTGGCAGGGATGATATTTGATGCTGGGAAATGTGAGAACCGGAGGTGCTATTTATAGATTGAGGCTGAAGGTCAGGCTGTGTGAAATCTCAGCTGTATATCAAAGACTTTAGACAAGAAAATGAAAGTGAAAAGACTGTAGATTTTTCAATTGTTTGAATAAGGATATTATTGAGTCGGCAGTCAGCAGACTCAGCAGCACACCAGTTGTGTTGTAATATTCTGATCATCAAAAAGGGCAAGTATACGTCCAATATGATATATTGCTAGCCAATCAGAATGGACTGTGTACGTGGACATGTGTTTTAGAACATTCTATTAGAAAATTAATTAGCACATCAGCTGGTTGTAATAAGTCGGAATTTTTAAAATCAACTTGTAGAGGTGGCGTTCTTTGACTAAAATATTAACATGGGAAACAACCACTGAAAACTTGTCCACACAACTTTATATCCATTGGGGTCACTTTACACAATAGACACTTCACCCTTAACCTATAAATACTCCCTCTGGTTTCCTCACACCAATATCAATCATTCTCTTTTAGCTTCCTCCACATTCATTCTTTCTTTGATCATCTTCTAAGCTCTTAAATTATCATCATCATGGGTGTCTTCACATACGAAACCGAGTTCACCTCTGTCATTGCTCCACCTAGGTTGTTCAAAGCCCTTGTTCTAGATGCTGACAACCTCGTCCCAAAGATTGCTCCACAAGCAGTTAAAAGTGCTGAAATTGTTGAAGGAGATGGAGGTGTTGGAACCATCAAGAAGACTAGCTTCGGTGAAGGTTTGTTTACTTTCCACCAATCTCTCTCTCTCTACCAACTTGTTTTTCTAGTTAACATGTTTCTTCAAAGCAGCATTGTCTCAATTTCTATAAAATTGACATTGACCATCCTCAAATTTTCAAATTACAGGAAGTGAATACAGCTATGTGAAGCACCAGGTTGATGCGCTTGATAAAGATAACTTTGTGTACAGCTACAGTTTGATTGAAGGAGATGCTCTTTCAGACAAAATTGAGAAAATCTCTTATGAGATTAAGTTGGTGGCATCTGCAGATGGAGGTTCCATCATAAAAAACACCAGCAACTACCACACCAAGGGAGATGTTGAGATCAAGGAAGAGCATGTTAGGGCTGGCAAAGAAAGGGCCCATGCTTTGTTCAAGGTTATTGAGACCTATCTTGTGGCCAACCCTGATGCCTACAACTAAACATGTCTGTGATATTGCATGTTTGGACAGCAATCTTCATCTGTCGTCCCTTTTTCTGTTTTGTCAACGGTGTGGTTTTAAAGAGTAATGTACGTGTATTTGATTTCAAGTTTTTAATAAAGAAAATTTGACACAATTAATTTGATTTTCTGTGAAAATGTATGTGCAGAATGAATCCCACATCTATATATTATGAGTTAAACAACAATTTGGAAAAGAAAATTATATACATTAACATTTAACCACAAAGCATTTGACAAAAAGTAATAAAGACAACCAGTTCAGAGGACATTTTACCAACTTTGCTATTGTTCAAAACAAATACAAATCAAACTGTCTGCTGCATTTAGTATGATTCGTTCAACGTTTAAACAAAATAACGTCATCGTTTGTAGAATGGATCCGAATCCTCTGCTCTGATATTCTTGGACATGATCTACTTGACTTTTGTCCTCCACATGCCACCTCATTAAAATTTAATCTTTTGAGAAAAAACGATAGTAATTATTGATGAAACATAACAAAGTACAAAGTCACAGAAGAGCCAAAATGGGTACGACATCTCCAGTGACCAAACACAACAAAATGTTGATTTGATCCTTTAGTTTAAAGAATATAAACTGGACACATTATCCTTAAAATAAAAATCCAATTTACTCCTAATTAAAAGTGGAAAGAATATCCTAATTAACTTGACCCCTCGTTTGCTATTTTTTCTCCTTCTTCCTTTCTTTGCACGTTTGCCCCCAAAAATCTCAATGTCATCAATCCAAACTTTCAATCTTTCCCAAAAGTAATTCGAGTATTGATGAGTAGTACATTCTTTATCTTCTTTTCTTTAGTCCCTTGTAACTTGAATTCTCTTTTATGTGTTTATGACTTTGGATCGGATTCAAGAAATTTTAAGAGAATAAAAAAAGATATAAAAAAAAAAAAGCTACAGCCTATACTCACCATTGTGTTGTTCACAATGGATTTTTTTGTCATCATTTTGTGTAATTTGGTACCAAATGCAAGTTTGGACATATGGGCTTTATTTAATTTTTTTTACACAAGAGAAAGAGATGTTTATCGAGAAAGAAAAACTTTTGGGAAAATGAAAGAGATCATGTAGAGTTGGGAAGATCGATGTTTATATACAAGTTTTGAGGGAAAGAAAAACTTGCAGAGATGTAAAGGGGAAGAAGAAAGACTAAGAGCATCCACAATGATGCTCTCTATTTCTTAGCTAAAATTTAGCTAAAAATATAAGAAAGCTATTTTAGGAGCTCTCTAAAAAATTTCAACTCCAACCATACTCCCTAATTTGGAGAGTCATAAATGCTATAACTCTTTTTTGATTGGTCCATCTCTTTAAAAATAAAAAAAAATTAGCATTAAATAAAGGTTTGAAATACTCATTAAATAAGGCAGCATTAAATTATAGGGAGCCAATAGGAGTACTTTCTCTCTCCTCAGATTTAGGAGCTCCTAGAGGACTCTCTATTTTAGGAGGTGGATAGGGAGCATGGTTGGAGTTGCATTTTTACAATGCCTCCCTAAAATTTGTCTAAGGAGGTGATTTAGGGAGCATATTGTGGATGCTCTAACAACATTAAGTGTGGCATTAGTTCAATTAGGGATTTTGTTTTTCCTTTCTAATTTTGAGAAAATTGAGTTTCTGTTTTAGGAGTGTTGTGTCAGTTTTATATCCCTTGGATTAAATTTTAGTCAAGTGGCACAAGGAGGAGAAAAACCAAGCAGATTGTGGCAAAGAAAATCCAAGCAGAGGATCCGAATCCCATTAAAACCTTTCTAGGAAAACCACTTGGGACAAACCCCAGGGTAAGAAAAAGTACCACACATGTCAAGGACTAACAAGAGAGTTCGACGCACACCACAAAAGATCGTTACAAGAACAAAAAAGAAAAAAACCAACTAAACACCAACATGGTAGACCCACAAAGAGAATCGCATCGCATTCCAACTATCAAAAGAAGCCATTTATGAGAAAAACTCATATTCCTTTGACTGCCACGAACTGCAAAAACACACCAAAGACCGAAACCCATTAGAACACATGTGGCTTTGGCATTAGTTCCTTTGCATGTGGTATTTTTTATTTTTGAATTTGGTGTCATATTGCCTATTGCCTATTGCCTACTGCATAGGTGTGTATATATATATATGTGTGTTTTTTTTTCTTCATCTTTTTGATAATGTGTAAGAGTATTTTATGTACCTTTATATATATATATATAGGTAACATACAATTTTATTTTGTCTATTTTTTGTATCTAACTTATAGGTAGTCTTCTGATTTATGTTCCTAACTTATAGATAGTCTTCTTATTTATGTTCCTAACTTATAGGTAACATGATTTATCACTAAGTTTTTTCATTGCTAATAATAACATTATGTACTTGTATGTCAGGTACATAATTTAATGTTGGTACTTATCTGATCAATTGGTATATTATGTGGGTCTCTACTTTTTATTGATTAAATTGTATTTTATCCATACATTAGGAATATTATCAAGGAAAGAATTCAACATTTAAATTTTGGAATTCAATTATAAGGAAATAATGCATTACATTTAGATTTTCAATGTGTTTTCCTTATTTACCTCAAAAGATAAAATCGACACAACAAAAAAAGTAATAAATGTCAAAGGACCTACATCTATAAAAAAAAAATGTGTGGACTAAACCCTATGATAATCTTATAGATATTTATGTTGCAAAAATGGGCATAAAAGTGTATGAGATTTTATTGCTATTGTTATTGTTTTAAAATTAATTTTGAAGCAGCCAACAACTATAAAAGCATTAGCTAGTTGGCTGATATTTTTGGAACCAACCTCAATTTATTGAGAATTAGATCTTTTTACACTTACGGAGAAATTAAATATGCCTATATATATTTCCAAATTTTCATTACATATTTATGTTGTATTTAATTACCCAGATTTTGTGTGGAAATCATTTTGTGACGATTTCAGTTTTGAGTAATTGGTTTTATAACTTCTGTTGTAGAAGCTTTCCACTGGTATTTAAATGAGAATTAATATAGTTTTATTATTGATTTTAAGCTAAAGGTTGAATCCAAAAGAATTAGTGTTGCAGCGTCAGTTTTTGTCTAAAGCTTCATATTGATTGCTTCAATTGTTTTGATTTCATTTTACACTGTTGGGCACTACAGATTTGATTTCCAAACTATTCTTAATTGCGGCTTTATGCAATTAATTGCAACTTTTTTTAATACCATAAAACTTGTTGGCATAAGCTTTTTCATTGGTTATGCAAATAGGTAAACACTTGATTGCTACAGCAAGTTAATTTCTTTAACAGTGTCTATGAAGATCAAGATAAGTGATCTCTACCTTCATCGCTCTAAAATGGAAATATAGTATATGATCAGTTAAATTTTACAGAATGCTTTATTTCTTTTACTTTGAATTTTGCAATCTTAAGCTCACTAGTTTGTGACATGAGATTCATACTAATAGTTGTAAATCTATATTTGAGTTTTTGAAAACTATAAAACGGGAGCTTTCTCTTATGTTGGCTTATCATTATCTTGGAAAATTAAGTTCTGGAGAAAGAAGCAGTAATATTCCAAGGAATTTCTTCACGTTTTTACTTGTGATTTAACAAGATTTAATTGTTTTTACTTGTGATCTAATATGCTGGTGAAGGAATTAATGGAAATTAATGGTGCTTCTCTATTACTTTTGTAAATGTATAATTATATATTTCAGTGAGTTTGAATTAGTGTGCCTTCTTTATTTCGTTGAACTCGACAACCTATATTTAAAACACATTGATGATTCCCTTAACTTGTGGGAGTTATCGTCCTAAGAACCTTTTATCAAATTTTTTTATTTTATATTTTTGTGGTCAACATTGGAAACATAATGGATTTGCTTTACATATTTTAAATGTGGGGGTGCTTTATATTCATGACCTTGATATTACCTTCAAGTAATTATTAAATAAGTATTTTTTGGCGAACTTGTTGTGTTGTTGTGAAGTTTTCTTATATTATGAAATTTTATTATGAGACTAATTTGTCTTCATTTTTTATATGAAAGTGTGTGCAACTAATGATGATTTTGGTATAGAATTTTGGTGGAGACATCTTATTGTCTTAAAGGGTCATATTGAGAATCAAGGGGATATAGTGACAACTTAGATATGCGATCATGATTTCAACTATTTGTAGTGCACAAAAAGGGAGTAAGAGTATCCTGAAATACTTAATATTTATAGTTAAATTTATTTAATGAATTAAGCTTTATATTGTTGTTCATAAGTGTCAACATGTGTACTACCTTCAGAAACTCATATTTAGGTACCAAAGAATTGAGAGGTACTCTTGATCATAAGATTTGAT